GGCAGAGGTCGTTAGAGAATTTGGAGGGGTCATTACAAAGTCACCTGAGTTTCTCTCCCATCCTCTACCTTACCACCTGTTCAGAAGTCTGGCATGGTGGCTGGGTTCTCTGCTCAGGATACTACAAGGCTGAAACCAGAGTCAGCTGAACTGAGCTTTTGTCTGGACGCTCTGGGGAAAAATTCACTTCTAAGCTCATTGGTGTAGTTCGCAGAATTCAGTTCCTCGTGATTGTAGGATTGAAGTTCCATTTACTTGCCGGCTGTCAGTCAGGACCTGCTCTGAGCAACTAAAGGCTACTGTTAGGTCTTTTCCCCTGTGGCCACCATTGTTACTTCACAACATGGTATGTTTGCTTTCTTCCAGGCCAGCCAGAGCACAGTCCTCAAACTTCATCTCCTGCAACCAGGCAGAGAGAAAACTCCCTACTTTTTAAAGAGTTCATATAGTTAGGTCAGGCCCACCCAGATAATGTCCAGGTAAGAGCTGGTAAGAGCTCAATGAATGATGAGCTAAAACTCCAGAAGAGCAAAGGCTCTTCTTCAGCTGAAGTAGCAGTTTCTAGATTTTACAGAGTGGGTAAATTGGCCATACATATTTTGAAATTTGTGCATTGTTTAGAAGATTAGAAATCCAAAGCTTTTGCTAAGTTTTCTGTTATTCAGAGTACCAGATGTCTTAAGCAACAACTGTGTGTTTTGTAACCACTTAATAGAGAATGACTTAAAAAAAAAAAGCCCTGTTATATGTAACTGATGAATTATTGAACTCTACATCTAAAACTAGTCATGTACTATATGTTGGCTAATTGAATTTAAATTAAAAAAAAAGGGGGGGCCCTGGGTGGCTCAGTCAGTTGAGTGTCTGCTCTACGTTTAGGTTGTGATCTCAGAGTTCTGGGATTGAGCCCTGCATCAGGCTCCCTGCTCAGCGGGGAGTCTGCTTCTCTCTCTGCCCAACCCCACCCCCCGACTTATGCTTTCTCAAATAAATAAAAAATAAAATCTTTAAAAAAATAAATTCTAAAAAAAAGAAACAAGATGTTAGTTGATAACTAAATAAGTAAAAATAAAAGCCCCCAAGGAGCAAGGTACTTATTTTCTCCTAGACCCCATTTCTGTAATTCCAGTTACCATCACCATGTGACAAGGAAGGCCCATCAGTGTTTTCTCTGTGGATAGGTTACACCTGGCAAGGTAAGATGAGAGCTGAAATGAGCCTGTGATTTAGTCAATTATGATGTTGACTATAAAAAAATATTTTAAGGGATGCAAGGCTGGCTCAGTTGGAGCATGCAGCTCTTAATCTCAGGGTTTTAAGTTTGAGCCCCATGTTGGGTGTAGAGATTACTTAAAAAAAATTTTTTTTAAGTATTTTAAAATAACTATTGTATTTACATTTTAGCTTGTTACATAATGAAACATCAAAATAATATATCCTATGATCAACTTCATTAATTTATTTATTCTTTTGACCCCAAGCAAAAAATTTCCAGGCAACTTTCCAATGCCACGCATCAGCTATTTTTTCCTTACATCCTAGTTGTTAAATCTTCATGTGTCGCTACTCCAAGCCTGTAATAATTGAGGAACTTGACTTCGGTATCCTCATTCTGCTAATCCTGGCTTATTTTTCACAAAATTACTAATCTTCAGGGAATATTGCAAACCATCATTTCTATTTCTGAGTCAGAAAAACAGAAAGTGGGGAAAGTTGTGGATGACAAGGACTCTTGGAACATTAGACAATCTGTCTTTTATCTGGAAAGAGATGGATTTGATATACTGTCATTATAAGTTCAAGGTGCCCCAAAGCTAGGATTATTTAATTTGAAATACGTAACTTTTAAAAACTAAGACAAAGTAAAAGGAAAAAGGTATAAAGGATGTTTTTGTCTTTGTATCTTACTCTATGTCATGAAAATTTTTGTATTTATGCAGCACCTCAATTAAAGGAAGCCCACCTTTCAAGGCCCTAAATATAAAAAAACAAAACATTTTAGTTTGATGTCATTTTAGGCATCAAGGTCACTTTGCACGGAAAGAAGTGACTAGGTTATGACAATGGGTCCTGACCACAGATGTACTTTTCAAACTTTAGAAACAGTGAAGGCAATACATTTCACCAGCAGATAGCTTTTGCCCTATTGGAATGCTGCTTGAGGTCACTGCGTTAGAGCCAATCCATCTTGCCATAGGATCTATCCTGCTACGCAGAAGAGACCTGACAGCCAGAGCCAAAATGACAGATTTTTTTTTTAAGATTTTTATTTATTTATTCATGAGAGACAGAGAGACAGAGAGAGAGAGAGAGAGAGAGAGAGAGAGAGAGAGGCAGAGGGAGAAGCAGGCTCCCAAGAAGCAGGGAGCCTGATGCGGGACCCGATCCCAGGACTCTGGGATCATGACCTGAGCCGAAGGCAGACGCTTAACCATCTGAGCCACCCAGGCACCCCAAAATGACAGATTTTTAAGGCCCACATTCCAGTGTAGTCAACCTATATGCAATTACATAAGTGGGTCCAGCAAAACCTACAGAACTGATATAGGCAGGCCAGGTCTGAGAACGCAAAAGGGGGGTCCCATAGGACAAGCCAAGAGAGTCCTTCCTTGGCTTCACACAGGATAGAAATCAAATTCAAGCCAGGAGGAAGTGAAAGCAGAGTTTACTGAGTTGTGTAAGTGATTGAGTATAGCAGATGGAGTGTCTGGGAGACTTGGAAAGGAAAGGAGAGTGAGTCTCTTTATTGCTTGGGGCTAGGGGTTTATACTGGAAAGGGGTCCAGGGTACCTGTTTCTTCAGGAATCCAGGGCAGGGTCTGATCAAAGGTGAGTGACAGGTGAACAATAGGTGTTATTTCAAAAATCACTGAAGGTAGGGGGTATTGATATCAGCGTCAGCTGAGGTTTGTTCAAAGCTAATGTCCTGGAACACGTTTAGGATCCAGTTCTTAGATGTCATCAGGTATTTGGGGGCCTATGATGAAATTCAAAGAATGATTAACTTTCTTGCTTCCCCACTGGAGTGGGAACATAGCTTCTTTGACTTATTCAGATGCAAGGTGAAATATAGAACATGAGGAAATGGGGCCTGGCAGAAAAACAGCAGAGATGGAGCCTTTCTAAAAAGGAAGTCCCTTTAGTTTCCCCTCTCAGAACTATCCAACCAACCCACAGAACAGTGAGCATAATGAATTCTTGTGAAGTCACCAAGTTTTAGGGTGGTCAAAACAGATTAGAATAGTTGAGGAAGACTTCATGGAACTCAACATGAACAAAACTTTTTTCTTGACTTTCAGACTTCATTTTTTCTAATAATGATGCTACTACTTCTTTTACTCTGTTTTGAAACAGATGCACTTTTTTTCTTCCTGTCTTTCTCTCCCTGATATATAGTGTCTAATTCTTATCAATTTTTCCTTAATGATTTCCTTCTCAATTATCTTTTCTATTACCGCTGTCACCATGTAAGTACAGCAATGATTTTTTTTGCTTTCGGTCTTCAGCAGTTCAGTTTATCTTGAATCCTCATGTAACTGTCATTGTACCAAAATATTGTTCCAATTATGCTTCTTTCCACCAAAAAAATTCTTCAATCGCTTCCTTTGCCTACACAAGAATGTTCTTGATCATCAGCTTTATCTATCGAATCACTCCCTTCCCAATTCTGATTGCTATGTATATTTCCAGGCATAGCCTAGTTTTCAAATTATCATTTTTCTCCAAAAAAAAATCCCAACTCCAGCCAAACTAGCTTACTCATAGTTTCCAGACTATGCCATAAACATTTTTTAATATTTTTGCTGTTGATTTTTTTTTCTAAATGAATTCCCATGTATCTAGAAATGTCCCATTCAAATTCTACCTTCTATGTGAGGCTTCTTCCTTAATTATTCCCAAATTATTTTTACAAACTCCTTTAATATTTTATTGTCCAAATCATTCAGTTAATACCCACGACTATATAGTCATTTATTATAGTTACATTTATCATGTATACATGTTTTATCTACACACCTAAATTGTAACCTTCTGGAGATCAAAGTCTGCATTTTATGCTTTATATAAAGTGTTGTCAGTAAATATTAATTGATGTTGAAAGAAGCAGTAAGATTTGAGTACGGGGGGAGAGAAGGCCCATTCTAGAGGGATAGGAGCAACAAGTGAGAATATGTGTGGTTTATTCCAGAGATGGGAAAGATAGTATCAAATAAAGGGTCAATTTAATTACCCAGCAACAACAACAACAACAATTCAGCACTCAGCTATCATTCTTCACCTTGCTTACTTTTTTTCCAAGGCACAATGATGCTCATTTATGCCTCAGGACTTTTACACTGTTGTGGAAAATATGATCACAGAAATAGAATTTTAAAAATACTTTGTTGTTTGCAAAAACTGTGTTACAGGAAGGAAAGAGGGGGAGTGTTCACTAACCGGAGGCAAATTACCACCATTCGCCAGTGCCAGGATCTTTTTTACACCTAAGTTGTCCTCCCCATCCCCCAGTTGCCAAGTGGTTAGCAGGGGAGGAAATGCCTCAAAACACCCAGCGGGGTGGGGGAAGTGTGAGCCGTGTAGTCAAAAGGAGAGTAATGCAGATGGCATTGGCCAGTGGAAGAGTCATGAAAAATAAAGCTAGTACCATTGGTAGGGGCCAGGTTACATGTTCTAGCAGAGTCTTATAGTCTCGATTTTAAATTTTGGTTTTTAACTAAATAGCAGTAAACAGGCACTGAAGAGTAGGATGAATTGGGGGATGTTTGAACAAACCTCCCTTAGCTGGGGGAGGTGATGGGTCAGTTTCTTTATTTAAGTGGGAAGCGCGACACAGATTATCTACCTGGTGGTCAAGACACAAGGGGGAGTAGCAGTGGGTAAGGTCCCAGGGTATACAGCCAGATTTAAATTTGGAATATTGATTCAAGTCCCAACATCTTTATTTATTTACTTTTTTAAGTCCCAACATCTTTAGTATTAAAAGATATGTAATTGACTTACCTTATTCCAATATGGTTTCCACGGTATTGCTAAAATTTCAACTTCACTTCATTTGAATTGCAGTAGCTGTCTGCAAGTATAGCACAAGTAATGTGTGAAACTACTCCCTCCTGTGGGAAGCAACACAACTTATAGCTGGTTTAAAAATCCCTTACCCAGCTATCTAGAACAGACTGAATAGGGTTCATATCACAGTAAGCTATACAGGGTACTAGCCATAAACTCAGCTCACTTTTGTTCTTGCCATCAATTGTAGTAATTAGTAACCTCTCCACTTGTCAGCATTCTTCTGTTGAATAACACTTGTCCACACTGGGAGCTGAATCTTGCTCATGACAATTTAGTAAATATATAGCTCTAGGTTTGCTTTCCAAGGTACAGTGGATATATTACTGGACTCTCCTCTAACAATATGAGAAGATTTGAAGTTAACAAAGGGGTTAGGAAATTATATATCAGTGTAATTAATCCAATTACTGTGTTAGTGCCCTCTGTGAAGATAATGGCTTATAGGATCATAAAAACTCTATTAGTGCCACCTAATTGGCAAAGGAAAAATGATCCATATAAGAGGAAATACAGTGTTAACTTTTAAGGGTCAGGCATATAACATGGATCCTATGAACTGAGGTGAATTAGGACCTATTTCAGTTTGTAGATACTGAAATGGAACAATTCATTTGAACAACAATTCAGCTGAAAGGGAATGATCTAGTGCTAGGTGATAGATTAATACAAGGGGGAGAAGGCATAGTTTGACTTTAAAAAACCTAAGAAGGCAAAAATAAATAAAAAACCCACTTCTGATGTCCTGCTCTTGAATTTCTGAACATTTTTACTTTTTTTTTTTTAAAGATTTATTTATTTATTTATTTATTTGACAGAGAGGGACACAGCGAGAGAGGGAACACAAGCAGGGGGAGTGGGGGCGGGAGAAGCAGGCTTCCCGCTGAGCGGGGAGCCTGATGCTGCGGGGCTCGATCCCAGAACCCTGGGATCATTTTTACTTTCTTATATAGAAAAGGGTCTGACAAGAATAAGGGATCTTTAGCAAGCAGTTTCCCTAAACAGAGTGATACGAGTATTTGTTATTTAAAAAGATCACTTGCACTACTTTATAGTGAATGGATTAGATGAAAGCAAGAGTGAAAGTGGGGATTGCAGTTTTCCAGGTGAGAAATAATAGTGGAAAGTAGATGGATTTGAGAAATCTTTAGGAGTTATAAACAATAAGACTGTGATTAATTGGGTGTCAAGGGTAAGGAAGACGAAGAGTCAAAGATAATTGTCAGTTGTGGCTAGAGTTTTCCACAAAGGCCTTGAGTAGATATAAGTGGGAAGCCTCGAGGCTTTGCAGTACAGGCAGATAAGAAGAGCTCGTCCTGGGTGATGGCACAGTAAGAAAGTCAAGGCCTATAACCTTTCCATTCCACCTAGGTGACATGGCTCACTGAATGCATTGATGAGTACTGATACAAAGCAGTGTGTTCTACTTCAGGATTCTTCCAATCTAGAGAATGTTTTACTTAATGAGGCCATTGTGTCTCCTATACATGAGACACACCTTTATGAGATACGAGGGAACCAATGGGAAGGGGAGCTGACTTAGCTATTTAACTCATTTTTACCCTTTACTCAGCTGATTTGCTGCTTTAGAAGTAAATCAAAGTAAAAGTACCTGAGAGTTCAAGTTGCCATTTGTATCCACCCTCAAATCAGTGATTTTCTGGGTCCAGCAATTGACTAGGTAGCTGGTGTTCTGCAATTTGAGACGGGTAATGTAGTAGAGGAGGACCAGGCTTTTTATTTTGTTGTTGTTGTTGTAATTGCTGTTGTTGTCATTCTGGGAGAGATAAAGAAAACGAGTTCAGTTTTGGACGTTGGGTTTAAGGTCACTCGATACTCCACATGGAAATAGGAAACTGGCATTTTGAATACATGGGTCCAGATACCAGAAGAAAGTTGTGGGCTAAAGATAAAAACGTCAGAATCCTCAGCTAAATAGATAGAAACTGAAATTACATGCATGAATGAGATCAACTAAGGAGAGACTATAGTTAGAAGAGAAGAGGGTCAAGAACTGAAACCCCGAGGAAAATCCATATTTGTTAAGGACAGTGAGGAAGCTGAGAAGGGAAAAATATATATGGTGCAACAGGGTAAGAGAAGCGCGGTATCTGAATACGAAGTAGAAAACCATTTCAAAGGGAACACAGTCAACGGTGTCAAACGCTACTGGGAATCCTGTAAAATGAAAACTGTCCACTGGATTTGGCAGTCAAACGTTATTGATGGCCTTGGAGAAAGTTGTGGAGAAAGTTGTTTTGGTAGAGAGGCTGTAGCTAAAGTTAGAAATAGTTTTGCTTTTGTTTTTAATTTAGAGAGAGAGCGGGTATGCATGTGAGCAGGGGGAGGGCAGAGGGGGAGAGAGAGAGAGAAAGAGAGAGAGAGAGAGAATCTCAAGCAGACTCCACGCTGAGCCAAAATGACCTGAGCCAAAATCAAGAGTTGGTGGCTCAACCGACTGAGCCACCCAGGTGCCCCAAGGTCAGAAATAGTTTTAGGAGTGTTTCTGAAGTGAGGAGAGGGCACCAAATATAGATAACCCTTGAGAAGTTTAACCTTGAGGGGTGGACAGGGATTCAAAGGAACATTTTAGGAAGCCAGAAAAGAGAGAGCAAAGCAGTAAATGTATATGTGTTATTAACATTTAATTGTATAAGCATTTGTGGATTACATGAAGGGCACAGGGAGGGAACTGAGAATTGAGAGATGGACAAGAAATAGTCCTTCCCTTCAAGGTGCTCAAAGTTTAATAGGGGAGAGAGAAAGATAAATAATTATGTATATAGACCGTGCAGTAATAGATGCATTAAATTTAGTAGTAGCATAGTGGTGGAAGTGAAGAGTATGTTTATCAGGAAGGAGATAAGGGAAGACATTAAAATTGAGTTATGAATTCTTAAGTGTTTGCTAGGAATACTATGAGAAAAAGAAAAAAACATAGTTTATAGGAAACTACACAAAGTCTTTAAAGAGGAGTTCTTGGAATCAAATTGCCTAGATATAAATCCTGCCTCCAACATTACTAGCTCCGTGACTTTGGGTCATCATCGAGTAAACATTGCAAAGCTTCAACTTCATCACCTATAGAATGAAGGCTGATAATTCCTATTGTACGGGATTTTAGGGAGCTTTAAAAGCTGCGAAGCACTGAATTCAGTAGCTGGTACACAGCAAATACTCAATACATGGTATTATTATGGGATCTAAGATGCAAAAAGAGTGGTGAAGTATGTAGCTACAGAAGCTGATTAGGAACCAGATCATGATAGATTTGTCAGGAAAGTTAACACTGTTCCCTGCATTAATTAAAACAAACTAGTACAATTATTAGAAAACAAACCGAAGTCAGGCTTAATTCTACTAAAAAAAAGTCTTCAGGAAGCATCTTAATTATAATCTCCTGTTAATGAAGCCTAAGGCAACAGGTATGTACAAGTACCTTACAGGATACTAATTAGGAGGCTGAGATTGCTAACCTCTAATTGTGCAATTTGCAAATATATTTTTACATTACAACATCTTATAATACAAAGCATTGTTTTCCATTAAGATTGTTGCAAAACTTCAGTTTTCTCATTTTTTTCTTTTTATGTTTCAGTACTTTTAAATTTTTTTCTTTTCAAATTCTTATTTAAATTCTAGTTAGTTAACATACAGTGCATTATTGGTTTCAGTAGAATTCAGTGATTCATCACTTACTTACAACACCCAGTGCTCATCATAACAAGAGCCCTCCTTCATGCCCATCCCCCATTCAACCCATCCCCCGCCCACCTTCCTCCATCAACCCTGTTTGTTCTGTCTTTAAGAGTCTCTATGGTTTGTTTCCCTCTGTTTTTTCTTTTCCCCCCACCCATCTGTTCATCTGTTTTGTTTCTTAAATTCCACATATGCGTGAAATCATATGGTGTTTGTCTTTGACTGATTTATTTCGCTTAGTATAATATACTCTAGCTTCATCCACATCATTGCAAGATTTCATTCTTTTTGATGACTAATACTCCATTATATATATATACACCATGTCTTCTTTATCCATTCATTAGTCAATGGACATTTGAGCTCTTTCCATAGTTTGGCTACTGTTGATACTCAGCATTTTTTCTTCTTTTTTTTAATGAATTGGTAGTGTGGTAATACTTTGATTTCAGCAAAAAATCTATTTCAGGGGTGCTGGGTGGCTCAGTTGGTTAAGCGTCTGCCTTTGGCTCAGGTCATGATCTCAGGGTCCTGGGATCAAGCCCCGCATTGGTCTCCCTGCTCAACAGGGAGTTTGCTTCTCCCTCTCCCTCTGTGTTCTCTCAAATAAATAAATAAAATCTTAAAAAAAAAAGAAGCTATTTCAACTCTACCACCAAAACAAAATACACCAAAATTAACTGATCAAATAGTGTTGCTCACCATGGTAAGGGCATTTAAAGAGTAGGGGTAGATTCCACAAAAAGCTGCAGTGGGATCTAAGGAAATCTTCATGTGAGCTGTAGCCTTCTAGCCTTTTGTTATTGTTTGAGTGAATGAACTTTTCTCTAGTCTGAAAAGTCAGTGATTTATGTTAGATTTTTATTTTGAGGAAGCCTTTTTCTTTTCTTTGGAAGATTTCAACTTCTCACTTACGTGAACGATATTCCCTCTATAGAAGGAAATTTTGCCCTTTTAAAGAGAATTCTTTAAATACCTATTTGGCATTTTTTAAAAAAATATTTTATTTATTTATTTGACAGAGAGAGACACAGCGAGAGAGGGAACACGAGCAGGGGAAGTGGGAGAGGAGAAGCAGGCTTTCCGCGGAGCAGGGAGCCAGATGTGGGGCTTGATCCCAGGACCCTGGGATCATGACCTGAGCTGAAGGCAGACACTTAACGACTGAGCCACCCAGGCGCCCCAGTATTTTATTTTTTAATATTTAATTTTAAGTAATCTCCACACCCAATATGGGGCTTGAACTCACAACCTCAAGATCAAGAGTCACTTGCTCCATCCACTGATCCATCAGTATTTTTGAGGTTAAAAGGGTATATCAGTTTGGGGCACCCGGGTGGCTCAGTGGGTTAAGGATCCAACTCCGTTTCAGGTCGTCATGATCTCAGGATCCTGAGACCCAGCCCCACAAAGGGCTTCTGGCTCAGTGCAGAATCTGCACTAGGTTCTCTCTCTCTCTCTCTCTCCCTCTGCCCACCCCCACCCCCATGCTCGCTCTCTTTCTCAAATAAATAAATCTTAAAAAAAGGAAAAAGGTGAATCAGTTTAAAAAAAAATCTTCATTTGGGAATTTTCCATTCCTGATGAATCCAGTGGTAAAATCTTTCTACCAGAATTTTTTTTTTAAAGATTTAATTTATTTGAGAGAGACAGAATGAGAGAGAGCGCGCACATGAGAGGGGGAAGGGTCAGAGGGAGAATTAGACTCCAGCTGAGCAGGGAGCCCATCCCGGGACTCCAGGACTCCAGGATCATGACCTGAGCCAAAGCAGTCTCTCAACCAACTGAGCCACCCAGGCGCCCCTCTACCAGAATTGTTAATGGTGACTTTGTTATTTGATATGACATGTACTGTTGATATTTGGTATAGGGTGACTTGTGTCACATCCTATGCGTGTGCCTCAATTTCCCTAATTTTTTCTGATGAGTTGAGCCTATAGATTTTGCCTCGTTTTTGCATGTATATTCACATATATAATTGGGTCAGTTGTTCAAGGTGTTTCATTAAGCTCATCTTCGTTTCTTGCAGTTGACTAGAAATTTCATGAACTCCTGCCAGCAAAGTAGGTCTTAGGGTTGTTGATGCTTAATAAACACACTGAGCCAATCCAGGCGTGCAGGGGAAACTCCTTTAACCAGTGGCTTTGGATTTCAAAGTTTTGTTTTCCCCCAAGACCTAACAGTAACATCTATAACCCAGTATACGTGTATATGACTGAATAAAAAATGTTGCTATAGCATACTTACCTGACTACCCGAGATGTGCCTGAAATTTCCAACTCTCCTGCATATAAAACAAAAACTGCATCCCTTCCAGGTAGAAACCAGCTAAACTGATTCTACAAACCACTAACTGGTGGTTAAAGGCCGACTGAAATCGCTCCTCTAGCAGTCTCCGCCGCTGCTTTCTGTCACACCCCTCGAAAATGCAGCGTTTGTAGCTGGGAAGGTGGCGATCCGCGGAGTCACCGAACCTCTAGAGCCCTACGAGTGATTCGCCCCCGAAGGACGGAGGCAGCTCTCAGAGAGCGGGGAACCAACCTACAGCCCCGGCACGGTGGATGATGCAGGGCTCGACCCATTTCCCTGCCCTCCGGCTTCCTCGAAGTCCGTCCCGCCCCCTCCATCTGCTCTCCGTGAATTTAATTTCTCCCCTGCGAAGTGGGCCGAGCGCCGAACGATCGATGTTTCCTCCACGCCCTGAGAGCCGCCATTTTGGGGGGAGGAAAACACAAGTAGGGGTGGCAGAGCCTCCACGGGATGTTGACTGGCTTTTGCTTCTCTTGGCAGCACTGTGGGACCGGGGTAGAAGAATCCACCCGGGCCACTCCTCCTACTGCCTCTCCGGAATGAGGCCTCAGCGCCCGCGCGGGACGGCCCCCTCATTCATCCGAGAGTGAGTGAAGATTGGCGGCGTGGCGCGCGCTCTCGCGCGCCCTCCGCTGTCAGTTATCCCGCGCGCTCCCGGCGGCGCGCGCAGCTCCCCGCGCGCTCCCGCCCCTCCCCCGCAGGGCTAAGAGCTCGGCGCAGACTCGCTTGTTTGTTTCTGCAGGAGCCCTAGGAGAGGCCGAAGCCGAGAAGATGCCTGGGAAGCTGAAGGTGAAAATCGTGGCCGGGCGCCATTTGCCAGTGATGGACCGAGCTAGTGACCTGACTGATGCCTTCGTGGAGGTTGGTGCAAGGTCCTGCCCCTCAAAACACAGGGAGTGCCAAGCCCTTGAAGGATCCTACTCGCCTCGCCCCCAGCTCTTCAGCCCATTCTCCTTTCGACTGCCGTCCTTTGTGCGGTGCTTGTCCAAGTCCTGCCTTGAGGGCTGACTGCCGAGACTGCAGCCCATGTGATGGGTGCACCGCTCCTGGGCGCCTGTGGCGGAGAGCGCCGCGCGGGGAGGCAGTTACTGCTCTGCATGCGGGGGTGACCCTGATGTCAGGACTCATAATAGGCCACCTGCCAGTCAGGAGGAGATCCCGAGGCGTGTCCGCGTAGCCACCGAAACACACACACACATACACACACACGGACGTTCTTCTGTTAAGGGAGAGGTGGCTTCTGAAGCCAAAGTGATGCAGGTCACGTTAAGAAGGTAGATAACAGTTCGTTACGGGCACTTGGAGACCTACAAGGCGAGGCGATCCACTCTTGAGCATAACATTCTCTGAATCATCAGTGTAAGTTTTAAAACACAACCATAACGCTTTCTGCTCTTGTATGGACTGGTAGGTAGATGAGCTGTTTTAGGGTAATTTAGTGCCTTGAGGTAGGAAGCGAATTAAGTGCCATGGATTTAAATTGCAAAATTGCTTTTTAAGCCAGATGATTAGTTTAAAACTTATGCAAATTAGCCCAGGCCTAGGGCCCGGAAAGTAATAACCCAGAGTCTGAAAGAAGCCAAGTAAAAATTGTAATAAAAATTGACTTGATGAGCCAGAGCATTAGAATAATAATCATTGGGCTAGTAATGCTTGGAGTTGACAGCTATAGGATAATATACAGCCTGATTTTATCTCAATATAAAATATTCTTGATGTTCCCTAAAGGTTCTCTGACTTAATAACTGCAGTTTTTCCCCCCAAACATTGCCATGGTCATTCTTATTCCCAACTTCATTTTCACTTGAGAAACAGATGCTGAGTGTGTTCTTGGGCTAGATGTTAGGTAATGGGGATACACAGATTACCAGGGCATAGTCTTTGCTTTCGGATAGCTCAGAGACTGACCTATATGTTTAATAACTAATAGCTAACATGTGTTGAGTCTCATTATTGCCAGGTCTTTGCTAACTACTTTTTATTTATTTTTATTTATTTATTTTTAAAGATTTTATTTATTTATTAGAATGAGAGAGAGAGAGAGCACGTGAGAGTGGGAAGGGTCAGAGGGAGAGGCAGACTCCCCGCCGAGAAGGGAACCTGATGGGGGACTCGATCCCGGGACTCCAGGATCATGACCTGAGCCGAAGGCAGTCGCTCAACCAACTGAGCCACCCAGGCGTCCTGCTAACTACTTTTTAATTCTTATTCCTCATAACAGTCCTGCTATTATATTACTATACCATATTACGGTTAACTGAGGCCTAGGAACAGTAAATAATTTGCCCAAGGTTTCTTAACCTTGTAAATAGACTTGTGGTCTGTTTTCTTAACCACTGTGCTAACACTGCCTCTCTAGACAAGTTGATGAGTGTTGTAGAATATGGAAACTTCATTCTGTCTCTGAAGGTTTAGGAAGTTTTCCTAGAAAATGACATTTGAGCTGAATCTTGAAGGACATCAGGATTTTACTAGGCAGAGGGAACATCAAAGGCACAGAATGGGATACATGGTATGTTCAGGGAACTATCTTAGTTTGAGACATGTCTGGAGTAAAAGGGAATATGTGGGTAGTGGAGGTTGTGGGGGATGAGGCTGGAAAGGCAGGTTGGTACCAAATCTCATTTTCTGTACTGAATAATTTTTCCTTTATTTTATAAGCAGGGGCAAGCAAAGAGAACTTTTTAAGGAGAAATGAAATATGTTTATTATTAGGTTGTTTATAGGATGACCTTTGTGGTAATGTTATTGATGGACTGGACAGATGAGAGATGAGACAGGGAGATCAGTTAAGAAGGAGGTAAAATTATCCATGCAATATGTGCATTTTGAGAATGTCTGTGGGAACCGATTAGAGGAGAAAGACTTGAGGGATATTTCCCTTGTTTTTTCTTACTTAAAATTTTATTTATTTGAGAGAGAGAGAGATAGCAAGAGAGAGCATGAGCAGGGGCAGGGGAGAGGGAGAAGCAGGCTTCTGGCTGAGTAGGGAGCCCAAAGCGGGGCTCGATCCCAGGACCCTGAGATCATGACCTGAGGCGAAGGCAGATGCTTAACTGATTGAGCCACCCAGGCATCCCTTGAGGGACATTGCTTAGGTAAAATCATCATGCCTTGGTTATAAATGGTTTTGATGGTGAAGGAGGGGTTGGATTCAAGAGTGACTTTTAATTCCTTCTTTCAGCAAGTAGTTATTGAGTGCTATTTGACAGGCCCAGTGCTAGTCTCTGGTGTAGCTGATGCATACCTGATAGTGAACAAAATAGACTTGGTTCCTAGTTCTATGGAGTTTATATTTTGGTGGAAGAGACATTAAAAAATAAAGAAATGATTAAATAGGTAATTATGATGAGTGTTATGGAAGAAAACAATAGAGATTAACAGGGAACATCTACTTTAGGTTGGGAAATCAGGAGACCTCTGAGGAAGTGTCAGTCGAAGACCTGCTGGATGAGGAGGAGCCAGCTGCTCAGGGAGTGTATTAGGAAGGGAAGGAAGACGGGTGTGGCTGGCATGTGGTGTAAGATAAAGTGGGAGAGTTAGTCAAGGAGCCAATCATGCAGGATCTTAGAGGCCATGATTAGGAGTGTGGATTTTACTCTCAATTCTATGGGAAGCGGTTGTTGAGATTAGTTTTTTTTTTTTTTTTCCCTGTCTGGAGCATGGACTGAGCTGAAGCAGGCAACTAATTAGGAGATTCTATAATACTTCAAAAAAGAAAAGGTGGGGGCCAAGATGTTGGTTTGGTAATGGAGAGAAGTGGATAGATTCCAGATATACCTTGAAGATAGACTCTAGAGGATTTGTTGGTTGACTGGAGTAGGGGGCCAGGGAAAGGGAAACTAAAAGATGACTCGTAGCTTTCTGGAATCTTTGGGGTAATTTTCTGAGGCTCCATAGGATTTGTAGAGATTGAGTAGGTGGAGAATCAATTTCTGTTTAGGTGTGTTAGGTCTGAGATGTTAATTGAAGTTGTCCACGAGGAAGTTAGATTTGTGAGTATCATGTTCAGAAGAGAGATGTGAGTTAGAAATGAGCTCATATAGGCCAGTGCTTTTCCACTCTGTGAGACCCAGTGCCCCCTATATATATATAGCAGGTATTTTGAAATCCACTCTTTACTGTGCTGGCATGATATTTATGGCCAATGTAACCTAGCCTCACAGTTAAAAAAAATATATATATATTGTTCTAACTAGTAGTATGACAAATTAGAGAATTTTTTTTAGTATGTATTTCAATTTAGAAGTACTTGTTCATGATCACAGAAGGTACGAAGTAATCAGATTGAGTCCATGAATATTTATTAAGCCTTTGTATATGTCCATCACTGTACTGGGTATAGTACAGTGTGCTGGGGTTATAGTAGTGAATAAGACAAAAATTTCTTTAATCATGGAACTCACATTTTAGTGGGAGAATGGAGTTCATAAAGAGGATAATTAAAAGGTAAACTGATAGATGATGAGAATATGGAGAAAATAAAGCAAGGATACAAGGTAGGGAGTGTCTCACCTATGTGTAAAAATCACATGAATCTGACTCCTCATACTGAGTGAGACAGTTGTGCAGTTTTGACATCTCAGATAGTCCTTCATTGCTGTCTGATTTTTCAAAATAATCAACTCATGGGGAAAAGCAGAATTTTCCCTTAATTTACATGATGGTTGTATTTCTTGACAATTATGTATATGAAAACTGCATTACAACACTTTTTTTCCCCCATTACACTTTTATCTGTAAAATGAGTTAGGTTTTTAATCCTATGTGATTATCTGGTAGGACATTTGAAAGTCATGACATGAGACAAGTCTTCATTGTAGGGAACTATTTCTTGCATTGCAGGACACCTAGCTTCTTTGGCCCTTCCTTCTAAATGTTATAACTATTCTCCACAAATACACCCATAGAATTTTCTAAAATTCCCTTAGGAGTTGGTCTGTCCCTTTTGTAAACCTCTGACTTAGCAGGAGAGCAGCAGTATGGATCCTTGAAAAAACTTGACATTAAGCTATTAGAGGAGGAGGACTAGGGGAAGAAAACTGAGATTATCAGCCAATGGGGAGAGAGAAAACAGGGAAGTAATGTCTCAGAAGGCAAGAGGAAGTTTCTAGAAAGAGGAAGCCCTCAACCATTAAATGGCACTGAAAGGTCAAGTAAAGAGGACAAAAAAAATCATTGGATTGGACAGTATGGAGGTTGTTACTGCTTCTGACAAGGAGCGTGTCAAGGAAGCCCATACTGTAGT